TGTGTGTGTGTGCGTGCGTGTGTGTGTGTGTGTGTGTGTGTGTGTGTGTGTGCGTGCGTGCGTGTGTGGGGGTGCGTGCGTGCGTCCGTGTGGACATTGCATTGTAACACGTTGGATTAATGTATGAAGGTATAATCACTATAATTACACCTTATCGTCTTTCCATTGTAAATATAGTGTACGCGAGAATCGAATGAAGCATGATCGAAAGTGCATCGGGTGTGATATATATACATCGCCGAGTCAATTATCATCGTACATGTAACGATTCATAAATTGTAAAAATTAATTGCAAATATATAAGTAAATGCATATAAACATAATATCAGGGGTTAATAATGACAAAATGACAATTTGCCATTATTAACCCCTGATAATATTATAAATTCTAACGGAAACTTTAGTTTTTCTTTTAAAATAACTCATCCAAGAAGGCACTGATCTGATGTTTATGTCCGTACCCGGATTAAATTTATAGTACGGATACATAAACTGATATGTAGAGTAGAAGAGCCTATACGGGGATATTGAGGCGTTGCGCTGATATATGCGTTTCTACGGCCGTTTATAAAACAAGAGCCGCAGAGCGCCTGGGCTCATCTGAGGTCTGTTGCTACGGTTATAAACGTAACATTTAAGTCGTGCGTAGTGACACCTTTGTTAGGCGCAGATATGCAGATATGCAGTTGCGTACACATCATTTCAGCAACCTTCTGCATTCTGTATACCTCCCAAATCCCATTGGTTGATACAAATCGCGTGCCTAAAACTCCTGTTTTATTGTGCATTGTGACCCTAACCCTAACCCTATTGAAAAAACAAAAAACAAAATTGTTGTAAAAATTATTTGTTGTTATTAAATTGTTGTGAATAAATCATGTAAATATTTGCGTTAATTGGAAAAAAATAGTTAAATAGATGAAGATTATCTTCATCTATTTAACTATTTTTTTCCAATATTGTATTTGTATTATATTTGTATTATACAATTGTAATTATACAATTAATTTGTATTATACAATAGAAAAATACAGAAAACAGGTGAATAATAAAAAATCTGATGGGATTCGATCCAACGACCTTTGAGGCGTGACGCCTGTGCTGTACGCGTTCGGCTATCCAGGCTTATTGGGTTTCTAGATTATGGATGTGCCATGAATATGACAACACTGTGACGTCATTGAGGCAGTTTAGGAATCCATGTTTAACCCTCTTCTTAGGGTCAAAAGGTTATCAGACACTTATTCTTCGCACGTCAGTGGAAATCACATTTCATGGCCCTTTCAATAAAGTAATAAAAATGGTAGGTCAGCGCTGAAATATAAAAGTTTTTCACTCTGTCCATTACGCCATGTCCTCAGAAAATGTCTGATATCTGACCTTTCCTCCACTGCCCTTTGACCTGTGACCTCCAATTTTGCACTGGTGATGGGTTTCTTGCCCATCACACTATACACCGAATATTAAGAGCATAGGTCGAGCCGTTAAGATTTGTGCCGCAATTCCGTATTACTATTTCCTCCTATACCTTAAGTTAAGGGGGAAATATTTCCCCCATTCCATCCAGTCCATTCCATCCATCCAATCCATCTCCATGCCATCCATCCATCCATGCCATCCATGTCCATCCATTCCATCCATCCATCCATCCTGCCATCGCATCAGTCTCATCCATCCATCCATCATCCATCCATCCAATTTCCTATCAGTCCATTCCATCGCATTCGATCCATTCATCCATTCCATCCACTGTCCATCCATCAGTTCCGATCCATCTCAGTTCCATCCATTCCATCCATCTCATTCCATCCCATCCGTCCTATCCGATCCATTCCATCCATTTCCATCGCGATGTCCATTCCATTCCTATCCATCCTTATCCATCCATCCATCCACCATCCATCGCATCCATCCGATTCCAGTCCGATCGCATCCATCCATCCATCCATTCCACTGCCATCCAGGCTCATCTCAGTTCCATCCATCCATCCATCTCATTCCATCCAGTCTCATCCATGCATCCATTCCAATTCCAGTGCCATCCAATTCCTATCCATCCGATTCCATCCTCCATCCATCCATCCCATCCCCGGATCCATTCCAAGTTCCATCCCATCCGATCCATCCATCCATGCCATCCAGTCCATTTCATTCCATTCCTATCTTATTCCATTCCATGTCCATCCGATGTCCATCCATCCATTTCCATTTCCATCCATTCCAATCCTAATTCCATTCCATTTCCATGCCATCCCATTCCGTCATCCTGATCCAGTTCATCCATCCAGGGTTCCAGCCATCCATCCATCCTAATCCTATCCCATCCACGTTGCCCGATCCAATCCCTATCCATTCCATCCAAGTTTCCGATCCATCCAATCCATTCCAAATTCCCATCCATTCCATCCATCCATCCATCGCCATCCAATCGCATTGCTTGGGTTTATGTGGCGGCGTTACTGTCGTCGTGGGCTGGGCCGTGCCGTGGGTATGGGTTTAGGGGGGGGTCCGCGCGTGGGGGGTCGGGTGTTGT